CTTTTTTTTTTTTAAAATCCCGCACCTGCATTCGCTTACATCCCCCCAGGGAATGCCTTGCGCTGCTGCAGGGACACACCGCGCTCGTCTGCCAGCTGCAGCTCTCGCCCTCGCTGCCCAGCACGCCGCATCCCGCGCCCATCCTCGTCACAGGCGGCTCCGACGGGCGCGTCATCACGTTTGCGCTCGCGTCGTACACGCCGCTGCACCGCATCGCGGCGCACGACTCGAGCGTGACGAGCCTGCAGTTCGACGCGCGGTGGCTCGTCACCGCGGGGAACGACGGGCGCGTGCGGCTGTGGGAGATTGCGACGGGCGCGTATGTGCGCGAGCTGAGCGAGGGCGGGGAGAGCGTGTGGAAGGTGTGCTTTGGCGGGGGGAGCGAGGACGCGGAGATGGGGCTTGGGGATGCGGGTGGCGCGGCGGAGGGCGGGCACGATGGGGGAGGGGATGTTATTGCTGTGATGTGCAAGCGCGCGGGCAAGAGCGTTATGGAGATTTGGAGCTTCCGCCCGGCTGATATGCCGAGGTAGGGGGACGCGCGCTTTTTTTTCATCTCTCTCTTTTCGATATCGCTTTGGAATTTGGTTCGCTCTCTCTCTCTCTCTCTCGTCTGTTTTGTATTACTTTTACTCTGGATTGTAGCATACCATTACACTTATATTATATCCCCTGGTTAGATTTGTCGCATTATTCGTTTTGCGTTTAGATTTCGTTTACAAAAAAGCTCTTGGCCCTGTCCCAGGCCAATCCCTGGCAACGATATCAGTGGCGGCAACGATACTATCAGTGGCTCGGGAATCTCGTTGCGCATCAAAGTCAAGGGTTGCAGACCCGTAGCGCCATTTCGCCAATGGAATTCTTCATCCAAGGGTTCCTAGCTTTCCTACCAATCGGAAACTTGTCGTTTTGAGGGAGACTTTGCCGGCGGGCCCGTCGGCTCCGAAGCTCGTCGTCGTTGGCATCACGTCCCCCTATCCTCGTTATCGACGACCACCCAGCGTCTGGTCAACAGGCTGTCAACGCTTGGGAATCAATTGTTATTGCACGGTCTTTTCGCACGTGGCGCTGATACCCAGGCGCAAACAAAAGTTGCTACTTATATGATGCAGGAAAGATTGTGGATGAGAGGGTGATCTGGATCCCCTCTCTTTTTTACTTTCTTCAATCATGAAAAAATGGCTGGCCAAATCCCCGCAGGAAATCGTGGATACCGTTGATTCGGACGACCGTTATGGATTCGATCTGCACGACTTGGATCGGGTGCAGCGGCGGCTGAAGCAGCGGCATGTGCAGATGTGCGTACTTGTGTGTCGTGGCAAAGACGAGCTATTGACCGACTCTCCACTGCGCGTAGGATTGCCGTAAGTGTCCATGCCTTAACCACTCAAGCGCCAGTCGATCCTTATTACGCCTTGTAGATCGCCGGAACCATCGGAACGGGGTCAGTAGTGCTTTCTCGTACCCCACGCGGATTCTTACTTACGTCCGTACGTAGACTGTTCCTTGGTTCCGGCAATGCGCTTCAAGTGGCTGGCCCACTTGGGGCATTGCTGGCATATATGTTGGTCGGAACGGTGGCCTACGCGTGCGTTTTCTTTTTTCGTTCTCGGTGTCGATGTGGTAAGGGCTCAAGAACGCGCCGGTCAGATCGTTATGCTCCATTGGGGAGATGACTACGTGGGCTGTATGTTAATAATTGCTTTAAACCGCAAGTGCACCGTTTAATCCTGCCCCCCAGCCGATATCGGGCTCGTTTCCTCATTATGGTCCGCATTTTATTTTATCCGACGCCGTGCAACTAGGATACTGAATGGCGCAAAGCTTCGCGATGGGTGGATCCTGCATTCGGTTTCGCACTTGGTTGGGTGCGCTTCGAGTTCTTTACCAGAGCGCCGCACGTACTATCTCTGACTTATGGCTGCGAATTCAGAATTATTTTTATTCGAACGCGTAGGTCTGGTTTTTTGGCAAAGGGGATTAATGCCCTAATCAATATCTGCAGGACATCTGTACCGGTGGAGATATCCGCGTCTGTACTTCTTTTGACTTTTTGGGACAGTAATGTGCGTTCTTTTTTCTCCAAGTCCGTCCCTGCTTTTCCTCAACGCAGCGATTTCAGACGAGTCATGCGGCTATTTATACTGGGGTATGTGTCCCCCCTTCTCGAATTGCACGGCGCTAATATTCTGCTTTGACTAAAGATTATTGCCGTGCTCGTTTGTGCGATCAACATATTGGGGGTTCGGTAAGTTTTCCTTCTTCGCCATTCATTCTGCCGCTTCTCATGCAAAACAGCTACTTCGGAGAAGGCAAGTTTTATGCGGCTGTCTGTGGTCCGCAAGTAGTGACCGGGGCTTGCAGCTGAATTCGTCCTTTCGATTATAAAGCGTGAGTCTCACCTTCATTCCATGCCGCTTCCTATTAACTAATTTTCCAGTTTCGCTCATTATCATCATCCTGTTCGCCGGTCTTGTCGTCGATCTTGGCGGCGGCCCGACCAAAGAAGTGATTGGCTTCAAAGTGCGTATGAGGAGACTCCCAGTTAGCTAGCTTCCGCTCACCTGCTTGAAAGTACTGGAGCAGCCCTGGCGCAATCAAAGGCGCTGGTCTAGTAGACGATATTCACGGTGATCGCTTCCTGGCGATCGTCGCCGTCATCATCCAGGCAGCGTTCTCGTTCCAGGGCATGGAATTGGTGTGCATCGCCGCTTCGGAGACTGAGAGCCCCCGTCGGAACATTGCCAAAGCAGTCCACAGGGTGTTTTATCGGATTCTCGTCTTCTACGTCAGTAGTATAGTCCTCCATACCAAGCACGATGGCTGCTGAACTGTTCCAAGATCCTAGGCATCCTGCTGATTGGGATGCTCGTTCCATACGATAACGCAGAGCTCCTTTCCAGTACGCTCCTTCCTTTCCAAAAAGTCTTGGGACCTGACGTCCTACATCATTACAGAGGCCGGAACAGCAGCCCAATCGCCCTTTGTGATTGCAATGAAAACTGCTGGGGTGAAAGGTATGTTTTACTATACTGTCTTCACCCGTTCTTGACAGTCCTCTGTGCTAGCTTTCCCGCACATTGTCAACGCCGGCATCTTTACCAGCGCCTTCTCAGCTGGCAACAGTTTCCTCTTCAGTGCCTCCCGCGTCTTATACGGTCTCGCTATCCGCGGGCAAGCGCCGAAGTTCTTGGCCCATACTACAAAGCAAGGGCTGCCAATCGCTGCGGTGTTAGCCACGGTTCGTTAGACTGCTTGCCTCGGGACCAACGCTCACATAAGAGTCGCGCAGTCCGTTTTTGCGTTGATGTCCTTTATGACTGTCTCTGCGGGTGCCGAAACCGTCTTCAAGTTCGTATTTCTTTCTAGTTCAGTGCAAAGTTAAGCTCATTGTGTTTGCAGCTGGTTTGTAAGTGTATCGACCACCGGTGGGTTTATTGGCTATTTGGGGATCAACATCACCTATGTGTTCTTCCGTACGTCCCTTTCCATCATTATATATGTACATTGCTGATCTATGCGGCGCAGATCGCGGGATGAAGGCACAGGGATTCGAGTTGTCGAAGAACGTGTACAACAACCCTCTCCAGTGAGTTCGACATACCCATGGATGAGAACTCAATGACCAACTCTCATTCAAGGCCATACTTGGCATGGTGGGGAATAGGATGGACCTCCTTCTTCATCCTCGCAAATGGCTACGCGGTGTTCTTCAAGTTTGATGCGTCCGCATTGTTCACTGCCTGTATGTCATGCCAATCCATCTAGTACATCCCGTGCACTGCTAACGATGCACTAGACGTCAACATCCCAATATTCGGTGTGCTGTACTTTGGGTATAAGCTCGTCTACCGCACAAAAATCTGGAAGCCGCTGGAGATGGACTTCATCACCGGAATACCTACTATCGAGGAGACTGAACTTCCTGAAGACCCGCCAACGACGTTCCTTGAGAAGGTGGCAAATGTTGTATTCTGAACGCTAGCCTTCGTATCGCCTCCCGCTCGATTGTTATTCGCATCCTAGGAACATGTACCACTAACACGCATTATCATGTAGCTATCGTATTTATGCATTATATATATGTAGGACTGACGCTAGCCGTCGTTCCAGCGGATTGAACTGCTACGAAACTGAAGAACCATGTCGCTATCGTCCACGCCACGTTTGAAGCTGAACAAAATAAGCAGGAGAGTTTCTAAGAGGTTTATGAGGTCGCAGTGGGCGTTTTGGAGGGGAGTTTCAGGGATGAGCCCGCAGTTGTGGAAAGAGTAATGTTTTGCAATTTGAGTCGAGCACGAGAACTTATTTTCGCAGCCTGAAAATCAATCGTTAGTCCTCGAATCGATATGCTATTTTCCAACTCTATATGTACCTTGGGATTCGAGGTCTCTTCGGGCACATCACCGTTCTTTGGTTTTTTCAACTTGGGCGTCTGGGTATCGTCTGAAGATTCAGACTCGGGAGTTTCGCCTCTGCGCCGCTTCCCTGCCGTCGCGAACAGGCCGTGAGCTGCCATTTCGGCCTTGATACGTTCGGCAACTGTGGCCGCGTCGTCCTCCCCATCCTCGTCCCGGTTTCTCATCTGTGAATTGGGTATCCTCCGCTCTCGCTCGTCCAAGACCGTCCGTAACAAGGTACGCATTTGTCTTTGGCTGGTGACAGATTGCTCAGCAGAAGTTCTCCCTGCCAAAAGCTCTTCCTGCTGTTTCGCCATGACAGCCAATAGAGGAGCGGTAGAAAAGCCTTCCGACCCTCCCCGCCCTTCCTGAATCGCTGCGTCCCGTTCCTTTTTCCTGGCCTTTTTCCGTCTCTGTGCTTCCCTACATATGTCGCATGTAAGCAACTTCTGGGTTACGGGAACGTTGGGGCGGCGACATTGAGTGCACGGTCGTGTAGTGCCGTCATGAGCAAGTCGGGGCATGAGCAAAGCTGACAGTGATGTGACCGAGATAGGGGCAAACAGGAAAAAAAAGGACGTCAGGCTGACGAAAAAGAAATGGCCATCGTGGGGGTCGAACCCAAGACCTTCGCGTTACATAACAGTATTAGCACGACGCTCTAACCAACTGAGCTAGACGGCCCACAAAATTGAGACGTCAGTTGGCGAGTCTATAAAGAATATTGCCGGACTTTCGGACATTTCGGATGTCGGCAATGAGTCCGATCGAGCTACGACGTTGAGCTAGACCTTGCCCGGAGTCCTTACAAAATGTCGTACCTTCTATATTTTCTTGGCGCCGCGACGGCGGCCAACCCGTCTGCATTAACAAGGTGTCCATTCCGAATTGGTTCCGAAAGCCGGCAAGCCTGGCTGGCCGCGGTGCGATCGTGCACGTTTCTTGCACGTTTCATTGCGTTTCCTTAAGTTCTAACTTAGTAAGTGTATCCGAAACCTCCGCGGATTTGCTGAATAATGTGTGCGCGCGAGACGCGATATATTTTCTTCGTGCTGTAATGGCGGGCAAGTTGGGCCGCCTATAAAGCCAGCGCCTTCGCCACTCCTCTCTCAAGTATCACCAAGATGGATCCTCTAGAAGTGAACACCAAGACCGGGGAGCTTTATCTTCGCCTCCCTGCTCCCTTTTCCAACATCATCCTCACTCCCCCCCGACTCTCGGACGCCGCACCGAGCATCGCCATCCTGCACGATCCAAAGATATCCACATTCCTCGGCCCCAGCCTTCCGACGCCATACGAAATCGCCGATGCGGAGAAATGGCTCGCGAAGCTCAAAGCGGAGACGGACACGATAATACAGGAGCTCGCGTCGGGAGAAAGCGCAGTTCGTGGATGTCCGGTGCGGCACCTGCGAGAGCTCCGGGCAGACGGGACGGACGTGTTCATAGGCGACGTGGGCGTCGCGCGCTCGACGTGGCCGGAAGTGCTCGATGTAGAAGAGAAAAGGCGCCGCGTGGAAGAGAACAGTGCGCGAGCGCCCGGAGATCCTGAAATTTCGTGGAACATTAGCTGTGCGTTCTCTTCGGGAGGGTGTCGCAGGCGGCAGGGCTGATTGGTGCTAGATTATATTGCCCCGAGCCACCAGGGGCGTGGATTGGCGACAGCCGCCGTCAACGCCATTCTGACCCAGTGGTGCGTTCCAAGGATGAACACGAGGCACATACGAACATCGGTATTCGCGGGCAATCCTGCGAGTGTCAAGGTATTGGAGAAGAATGGCTTTGTGATGGTCGACACTTTGGTGGAGCATTACAAATACGGAGATACCAAAATGAGCGTGCATCTTCTCGAGTGGAAGCAGTGAAAGGAATGTCGTTTTTCAGTTTTGGAATACAACACATTGGACTGGGTTGAGGCCTATGTAAATTGAGGTAGCAACGATAACTGCTGCACCACGATTCGGCATGCACAATCTGGATGCGGACGGTCTTAGCCATGATCGGGTTGCAGAGAGTAGCAGATCATGGTGGAGAATCCGAACGCGAGTTTGTGGATGTGGCGTATGAATTTGGCATTCCTGGAATTCGAAGAGGCAGTCCATCGAGTCAGGTATAAACTGATCCGCGCAGACCTTCTTCCAGAGGTTCGAAAGTGTCCTCGTTTGGGGCATCCTCATCGGTACACGCTGTTAACATGCAGGTGTTTGACCATACTCAGCCCTGAGGCCTGCAGTCGTCAGAAAATCATCCGCCAGATAAAAGAGGTGCAATTTATTCGGTGAAGATGGAGGGGTCGTCCGCCTCAAGCTCGGGGTCTATTTGAAGTGATTCCCTGTTGTCGTCCGTCGGAACAAAAACGACGAGTGAGACCTGTTCACTTTCAAGGGTGCCGGTGACTGCGACCTCATCGACGCCCACGCAGAAGAGGTGCGTAAGATACGTGAAGGCCTCGAGTTTGGGCTTAAGGCTTGAGGGTATACAGTGGCGCGACTGGAAGTGAGCCACTCAGAGCGCTCGTCAAGTAGCGGATCTCCACTTGGAGGAGTTCTTCAGAATCTTCAGAGCTTGGGATAGTGGCATCCATCTTGTAGTATAGAGCATCGGCCTACTAGGAGTGAGTCAATTTGAAAAAGTGGAGAGAGGAGCGACGGCAACTTCCGGGGACAACGCGATGTGCCCCTGACACGCCCCCGAACAAAGAAAATCGGGTTGAGTAGCTAGCGCTTTAGTGCTAGTTAACAATTCAACTGGGACGAGGCGTAGCTCAATTAAAACGCCACGTTGAGCGTAACAGTACTACTCAGATTCTCGAACAGTCGATACATCGTACAAATCTTGTTATTATTTAAAATTGTAGCAGTGTACATAGGTACATCCTCTATGTCTACCCGGAACCGAATGCGTATAGAAAGAGGTAAATAAAGCGAGGAAGCGTCGAGCTTCCATTAGATTAAGGAGTGTAGGTGTGTATGTACGATGCGTGTAAATAAATGGAGGTGGAGCAGAGCTGGTCCGCGATGATGGGGTCTGGGGTGGAGACAGTGCTTGCTACGCAAGCGGTCGAAGAGCTTTTGAGCTTCGGACATGAAGAGAGTATTACAGAGAGGGGGGAAAGAGATCGTGGGCCAAAAATCGAGCACGCCCCCAAAAATGGTACAACAGTGGTGTGTGGTCGTCTCGGAGGCGTCAATTCTCCTTCATCTCTTCGTCAATCTGGCCCATCCAGACGCCGCCGGGGAGGTAGCATTCTGCGCTGGGCGAGGAGGGGACGGGGGAGGCGGGGGTGAAGAATACATCTGCGGGGGGCTGCATGGCCAGGCGCAGGAGGGGCGTGCGTGGCGATTCTTTGGTTGCGGGCGCATGCAGCGGCAGGGCGGGGAGGGGCGCCGTTGGGGGTGGCAGGGCGGGTGCTGCGAGGAAGGCGGTGTTGCGTCGGGTAAGTGGTTTTCTGCGGAGGCTACAAAGGGGCGCAGTAATTTAGTAAAAGGACAGTCCTGACAGGGAGAGCTACATACCGAAGATTTACGTCGATGCTATTGCTGCGTATTCTGCCGAGCATACTTGTCTCCTCGCTGGCGACGTTTGTTGCGACGCTGCTGCTGCGTGACCTGCTGGGCGACGAGGCAACGACGTTGGCCATGTGCCATGCGTTTCCTGCTGCGCGCGCGGGCGACCGAGCAAGCTTGAAGTTGTTCATTGGTGATGCGGCGGTGGTGATGCTCGAGCGCCGTTTGCGCATTGGTGGGGGCGAGCGGGGCGCCTGCATTCTGCGATAGGGGGCCGACGGGTGCTCGCCATCGTCGTCGTCGTGGGGGTGGGTATATGTGTACACGGCAGCAGCAGATGCATGGAGACCCGAGTCGAAGAAGGCGGAGTAGGGAGAGTACATGGTGGACGTTAACGACAAAGAACCCGCAGGCAGCAGTATTTCAACTTGCATCAAGGCGCGTATACAGAGCCACACAAACGTAAAGGCCCTTCTATTCTGCTGGCAACCGTCCACTTGACTGTTCTTGACTAGCTTGACTACTGCAAGATCCTAATGAAATCTAACGAGAGCTGCGCTAATTAGGCGTAATGCAACTCGGACCCACGCGGAAATTGAATGGCCTGTCTCTCAGCTACATTTCTCACACTGTGGCTCGGGCATAGTGGGGCAACAGATTTGAAGGCCATTGGCTGCTCTACAGCTTAAATGCTTCCGCACCGGTAGCTAGCAACGCCAGTCCAAAGTTTCGACGACGATCTTCAATGATGTTGCGATAAGATTATTTCAAGGCACAAGGGCATCTTCTGCGGCTGCCGGCGCCATGCCAGCATTTTTTTGGAACCCAGTCAGCTCTTGATGTTTGGTACTTGTTTTATTTTATTCTATTCTTTCATGGCGATGTACAATTTTCAGCAAAATTGAATTATGAGGGAGACCTGTACCTAGATCGGTACCAGGAATTTTATTTTATTCTTTCACGACTTACATAGACTGCCAGCAGCTGCCAGCGGAATGGCTTTCAAACGACCACACAGTCGGTCGGTCCGATGGTGACATGCTGTTGACAACAATTCCCAGGACCTTGCGGTTCCGACTCGGGTGCTGTTCTGTGCGGCCCATCAAGTTACTTCCACCTCAAGCAACCCATGGACGTCGCCTTTGCGGGACCAGTTCCCGGCTGCGACCGTCAGAGCTCTCGGTGTCTCTAGAAATGTCCATCTTTTCCGAGTCGGCCAGTGCCGCAAGCGCATCACCACCAAAGGGCCCTGTATCACCTTCACTACTTCTGCTCCGAGCTTCCTGACTGCGCGACTCCGTCCTCGAACACGACCTGCAAGACGAACCACCTCTCTAGGGGGCGTTCACGCAGCAGACGCCTGGTTCAAGTACCTGTGGAACCGCCTTGTAAATAGTAACTATAATAATAACATTCTAATAACACAACGCCGTACTCCATGGCAAATACGACTGCGGATAACACTCAAGATTCACACGCAGCTTTGTCGAAACCTTCCGTCAGAGCCTTCGCTCGCAGTAAATATCAAGAAGAATCAGCAGCCTTCGTAATCCTTTTTTGCGGCATTGTCGAGTACCAGGTTGTATGCTTCGATTCTTACCTGCGATAAATTGAGGACGATGCGGAAAGCTTCGGCATTGAAAATGACAACGACATACAAGTATGCTGGCGGTGATATATATCAAGGTGCTTTGGGTTGACGCGCGCGTGTTTTTTAGAGACCTGTGCGCTTTTTTTTAAGAGACTTGTGCATCTTTCCTTTCGACTACCCTCTGGCCGAAATGCTGCTGCAACACGAATACTTGTAGTTTCTGCCTTTTTGGGGTTGCGATTCGAAGCAAGCTGCATTCGGTGCGATGGCCGGCGCATCATTGATAGCGCCGTAAATTCCCACCGCTTGTCTCCCACCACTAGCCACCATAGCCACCGCCGTATCTGCACCGTCTGCACCGTTTGCTTCTTCGACAAGCATACCAGTCTCAAGCGAACTCTACGTTGCTCAAAAGCCCAGTAAGACCAGAATGGTTCTGGAAACACGGATTGTTTTTTTTTTGCATTGGCTTTGAACGCGCTTGTCCCGATTCCGGAATCCCGACGCGCTTGTCCCACTTCCCGGTGGCAGAAGCACGTTCAGAGCGCTCGGTTTGCATGTGCTTGCACTTCGCGTGGTGTCAGCCA